TAACCTGGTGTCAAACTGCAGTAATTCTACAGTATAGATGCCCCTTGCCACCCCCAGATTCAAATCCTCAGCCTGGCCGGCCTCCCCGGATCGTTGGGAACCTGGAGAAGCAGCACAGGTAGAGGAAGCCCGCGTAGTGACCGGAGACTGTCTTGGTGTTTCTGGTGCGGTTTTGTGCTTGGCCCGGCCTTTAGTCACTCACAGGCCTGTAGCGAGGGGGTGGTTTTAGGGGTTCAACCCCCCCCCCCCCGAAATGTTTCAGATTTTTTTAAAAAACCTGGTTTACTCATGAATTTTAACTGGTTAACCAAATCCCCATGCTAAGTCTATGAGATGCAAAAAATTAAGAGTCCCTCCAGAACTGTAAGCACTATCTCAAGCAAATATTGACAATTTATTCACACTGTCATTACTTGCAGCAATAGCCGATGTAGTGAAGCAACCAAGTTGGGTGTGTGTGTGTTGAATGCTCTCATTAAGGAGGCCAGACTTGGTGGAGGTGGTTGACAGGGGCAGCTGCAGGCTATTGAAGGCTGCTCTGCCCCCTGCTGTGCTCTTTGCTTCAGCGTGAGCTAGGAGGCAGGTTTCAATTCCCCCCTCCCCGAAATTTTTTTCTGGCTACGGCCCTGGTCACTCATGATGGGATTTTGTATATACACACACGCACAAACTCTGATTCCCTCACAGCGGCTACTCCCCAAGCATAGGGTGCATCTACACTGTCGAATTAATGCACTTTTAAACCAATTGAGCCGCCATGGTTCAATGTTATAGAATTCTGGGAGTGGTCCTTTGACGAGCCTTTAGCCTTATTCTACTCACGAGTGTGGCTACCTCACCAAATTACAATTCCAGGCATCTATAACAGGTCTGGACAAATCTCGGCCATCCAGGTGTTTTGGACTTCAACTCCCAGGAATCCCATCCAATTTACGGGCTCTTGGGGATCGTGGGAGCTGAAGTCCAAAACTTCTGGAGGGCCGAAGTTTGCCCAGGCCTGGTCTAAAGCCTGGAGCCAGGGCAGCTCAAGCGCTGTCTGTCACACTGCCTGCCTTTCTCAGTCTTGGGAGCCCATCGGGGCGCCACTGGTCCAACTTCTTCTCTGCCCGACGCTCAGAAGCCAGTCCCATCGCACTCGTGAGGTGTATCCAGCCGGAAAGTGGCGGGAAGGCGCTTCTGCTCCCCTGCGTGTCAATCATGTGCGCACCACCCCGCCCCGCCCCCTTTTGCGGAACCAGGCCGAACCTGGCCCTCCCCCGCCTGGGTCTTTCGCTCCTCGTCAGAGAAGGAAGGCGGGAAAGCCTCGCCGGTGGCCTTGGATCCGCCCAACTTGTGATCTCCTCGGGTTGCAAGGAGGATCCTGAGCTCATCCCAGGGTCAAGGCTGGAGATAAAGATTGCGGGGTTTCTTTCCTCCCATCCTGGGAACCCAAATCCACAGCTCTCCACAGCTGTCCTTCTACTGTACTGGCCTTTCTGTTCCAAAGCGCAGGCAGAGCCCAATCGGATCTAATTTAAGACCTATTTGGGTCTGCTCCTCCCTTCCCTACCTCCTTCACATGGCGCCCCGAATAAGATGGGAGAAGGATTGCTGACCAGGGGTCCATCTACAGTAGGATTTCACACCACTTGAACTTTTTTTTCTATGTCAGGAGCGACTTGAGAAACTGCAAGTTGCTTCTAGTGTGAGAGAATTGGACGTCTGCAAGCACGTTGCCCAGGGAACGTCCGAATGTTTTGATGTTTTATCATCCTTGTGGGAGGCTTCTCTCATGTCCCTGCACGGGAAGCTGGAGCTGACAGAGGGAGCTCAACCCACTCTCTATACCACCACTTGAACTGCCATGGCTCAATGCTATGGAATCATGGGAGAGTCATTTCACAAGTCCTTCTTTGCCTGCTCTGGCAAATACTGCTGGCCTCCCACCATACTATGGCTCCCAAGATTCCATAGCACTGGACATTGGCATATCAAGTGGTGCCAAAGTGCAGTTATTCTACAATGTAGATGCTCCCCATGACCCACTGATGACAAAAACAGGGGAAAATGTTCTGGCCAGTCCTACAGCCAGAAGTCAATCCAATTGAACTCATCAAGGTTTGATTCCAGAGACATCAGAAAGTGGCATGAATGAGACTCCCCCTTGCTCTCCCCCCCCCACCCCAATTTCCCTCCCTGGTTGAGCTGGTCTACTTCTATTAAGGTAGAACTAGTTAGCAACCTGGAAAGCAGAATTCCTAGACTGGCTATCAGATATTAATGTGCATCAGATGAAGCTGTCCACAGCTTGGCCAACAGAGGTGGGAAAACCCTAGGCTTGCACTTGCCTTTGAGGCCTGTTTCCGTCTCCAACCCTTATAAAGTGGAAAGGACCAGGAAGGCAATTCTGGAGTGAAGGTGACCACACAAAACCAGGTTACTTGGAACAGTAAGTACAACAAGAAAGAACTGATCCAGGCACACGATCTTGGAAGACTCCTGTTTCCTCTTAGTTTCCAGCCTGGTCTCTGATGAGGTAGAACCAGGTTGTTGGCTGGCTGGAGAGTCTTGCCTGTCTGGAGTCAAGAGACATATCTTCCACCAATCTACTCCCAAAGGAGGCTTATCACCATGCTAGCTCTCTCACATTCCTACTCTTTCCTCCCCTGAATTTAGCATTTCCTCCCTTGAATTTTGCATTTAGAAAGGGCACCCAGGAAAACAACCTCCCCATTGGCCCTAACAAAAGGGGCCCAACTTCTACTCTCCAGCAGAAGACATTGAGAGATATCCTGCTAAGGAATGGTTGTCCTCCTATTTTGAAGATGGGAGAAATCTTCACACTCACCCAGCAACACAAAAAAACCAAAGCCAAAGCCAAGTCTCTATTTACAAGGTATTATATATATTTCAATTCACATAGAAAGCAGGTACTGCATTAGACATTCAACATTGGCAGAAGACACCTACTTAAGCTTCTGAGACTGTTAGGTCAGATCAATGAGAGATTATAAGTTTTCTTTTCTTTTTACAGATCTTCAAGAGAATTAAATAGCTCACACTCACATACATTCAATATATGTAACTATGTACACACACATATACACACCCACATGTTTATGTCTGTCTAGCTTTTATATACCCATGTATGTGTGCCCAGAAACAAACAGCAGAGGTGGTACATGCCACAGTGACACCTGAGGAGGTTGGGTGGGATGTGAACTTTATTTGGACCAAAGAGGAAGTCCTCCTGGCCACTAGCCACCCTACCTTCCTGTAGACCCTCTATCAACAGATGCCAGCTGACAAGCCTTTCTTGCCTCACCACCACACTTCAGGAGGGAGAACTCAACACTTCTGTGATTTATAACATGAACTGAAAGGAATTTAAATAACTGTTGTGGTTTTTGTTTGTTTCAAGAGGGAGAAGGAGAGGGGAGAGGGAACAACCTGACATGTCCTCAGTATAAACCCAACAGAAAGGCAATTTGTTATTTGGTTGAAGAAAATGTCCCAAAAAGAAGAAGCTAGGCCAGTTAAAGAAGCAAATGTTTCCACTTCAGATTGGGAAGGGGAAAGGTACTGATGCTTCTTCCCACACCCACTTGTAGCTGTGACACATGTCCTGCTGCCCCTTGTTTAGTCGCCACATTAGAACATTTTAACAAGGGGACTATTCAGTGGAAAATGGGGGGGGGGGGACTTGAAAGGTGTTATGCCAAATTTGTGCTTTTTGTACAAGACAAAAGGCTTAAATCAATACCTATTGAGATACCACAGCATCTGCTGAAAGTAAAAGAAAGGCCAGCCATACCTTTCAACACATTCCCTTCTAATGGAAGAAACTGAGGGGGGAGGGGCAACCTGCATTCCCATGAAGTAGAAAGAAAAGCTGAATCAGATAAAGTCATCTAGGGTCCCCTTCCACACAGCTGAATAAAATCCCACATTACCTGCTTTGACGTGGGATATATGGCAGTGTGGACTCAGATCACTCAGGTCAAAGCAGATACTGTGGGATTTTCTGCCTTGACATTCTGGATTATATGACTGTGTGTAAGGGCCCTAGATCTCATGTATTGCTTTCTTCAAGGAAGCAGGTAAGTGGGTACATATTTTTCATACAAATGGTGAGTGAAAACTACTCTAGTCTGAATTATATAAATTTAGTGGAAAGAAGGAAAGGTAAGGGGGAGTTCATCCCAGGGCCCTTCCACACGGCCCTATATTCCAGAATATCAAAGCAGAAAATCCCACAATATCTGCTTTGAATTCGGTTATCTGAGCCCACACTCAGATAATATAGGATTTTCTGCCTTGATATTCTGGAATATAGGGCTGTGGAACCCCCCCCCCCCCCCCCCAAAAAAAAGGCAAGAAAAAGAATGATATACAGATCAGCACACTGCTGTGAAACTGATCTCATCCAACTGTTTAACAGGCTTTAAAAGGAAACAGTCTTCCCTGCATCTCTCTTCTCAGATTTACACTCTTACAGAACAGACAGCTTTTCTACATAACTTTAAAAACAGTCACTCAGGGCCCTTCCACACAGTCATGATACCCAGAGTATCAAGGCAGAAAATCCCACAATATCTGTTTTGAACTGAGATTTCTGAGTCCACACTGCCATATATTCCAATTCAAAGACGATACTGTGGGCTATTATTCATCTGTGTGGAGCTGCCATGATTCCTGGGGAGGAGATGGAATCCACTCAATATAAGATTAGGAGCACCTACTATATGAGCTGTGACATACTTTCCTCCCCAACTTTTCTGGCATGTGAGGAATGTAAACAGATTTTCTTTTTGGAGTGAGCAGGGAAGGACAGGGGGGAAAAACAACCCTAAAGCCCAGACAATGTGAACTAAACTATCTCTCCTTTCCCTCTTCTTCCACCATCCTTCTCCCTTTGACAATCATATTAAAGTGCATGACAGCAGCTACACTTTCTCAGAATCTGAAAACAGAGACACATCTCCCTTTCCCCTGTAAGAAAAGGCTGTTCAAGTTAATACTTCTTTGCTAAATCATCTCCCAACTTGTTTTAATGTACACTTTAAACCAACATTTCTTAAACTGGATCAAAACAAAGGCAAGACAATACTGGAAAGTCAAGTGCTTCCTTCAGCTGTCCAGCTCGAACAGTTGTGTATACAGCACACTTGATTGTACAAAGCAACACATTATAATATAACAATCCAAAATTGGGAGCCCCCTTTTTGGCCCCAGATGAATATAAGAACCCCTACTTGCCCTCAGCATCACCTTGGGGGGAGGGGGGGAGCAACTGAAACAAAACTGTAAAAAAAAGGGTGTTATAATTACTTAATAAGATCCCTGCTCTTGCAACCGTGGCAAGAGAAATATTAGTTCTCTGCTTACTGTCCACCTCCAAGAGCTTTAAATAAAAACAAAAACTTAGAGCTGAAATATATATATGCATATAGATATATATATATATATGTATTTCTCTTTAAATAACATATTTACACCTAATAGAAAATATAACTCTAGAGATAATCTTTCAAAGGAAACTGAAACTGGTGGCAGGGAAGGGAAGGCAATAAAATAATGAATTAAGGACAGATTTTGCAATCATGTCCAAAGAAAACACATATCCAAAGCCAGAGGACTTCCACCCAAACCCATTCAATGCCTCCTGCTCCCTCCCTAAGGGAATTCATCGCTTTTCCTTAAAGAACCCTTGGTCTGTGCTACTCTCCTTAATGGTAACTGTCAAGAAATTTGAGGTCACATCAGTCACTACCACCTTCTCCAGGTTGTTAAGAGATGGGCTCCAAGCTTCTTCTTCTGGATCACCAAGAATCCTGGAGACTGGGATGCGGGCAATGAGGGAAGGCCTACCAGCCTGGGTCCCTATGCCATCTCCATATAAGCTGCTTTGATTTGCAGAGCTGTGCAAAATCTTAGGGGCACCCAAGTCTAAACCACTCTGCCCTTTCTGATCCAGGAAATCTGCTCTGTGCTTGGTCAGCCGGGGAGGATAAGTCTCAGGTGCACCCAGTTTCATGCCAGCTTCTGCCCTGGTGCTGGACCCAGCGCTGGGCAATTCTGGCTCACGCCTCCGGGCCAACTGGATCACACTGTGTCCGGAGAACTTGGCTGCAGAAGGGTGAGCTGCCTCTTCCAACTTTCTGGCTTTCAGGTAGTCTACCACCACCTTGTCTCCTGCTTCCAATGACTTTCTTTTGGAAGTGGGATCAACACTTTCAGGGAGGTCTTTGTAGAACTCTTTCCTGGGCTTTGGGCCCCTCTTTTTGAAGGCGCTTTCGGATCTGTCTTCTTCTGATACCACCCGGTTCTCCTGGATCGTCTCCACCCGGGTGGTGGGACTAGTGGGGGCACTGGAGGAGCTGCTCTGGTGGGGCAGTGGGATTTGCCTCAGCCCTTCTCGAGCTCTGGAGGTGGAGGCCAGGTCTTGGGGAGAGCGGCCAGAGTAGGGCATCCGGATCCCCCGGGAAGAGTCACTGCGGAATTCATAGGTTTTGGCTTTGGCTTTGGCCTGGGCCTGCAAAACAGGAAGGAACTGCTGGATTGTTGGGAATCACTGTAAGTCAAGGCAATTGTAAAATGTGGTCATCACACACACCTATCTGAGCTGGATCTACACTATCATATAATACAGTGTAGTAGAAGGCTTTCATGGCCAGAATCACTGGATTGACCATTTGGTCATGCAAGGGCTACTATACTGGATTGCTGTGAATTTTCTTTCTGCCCACATCTATGGCAGGCTTCCTCAGCTAACAACAGCTCCCAACAAAGGATTCCTCCAGACAGGAATCAGCCAGGCCTTGAAGCTGCAAGGCTTTGCAATGCTAATCAAGGTGATTAACTGCAACATTCACACTTGCCTCCAACAGACAAGAGTTCTTTCTCCCACCCAGGACCTTCAACAGATATAGAATCCCCCCTTGTCTTGTTTCCAATGTACCTTACAACCTTTTTTTTTTTTTCATGTCAGGAGCGACACGAGAAACTGCAAGTCACTTCTGGTGTGAGAGAATTGGCCTGCCACAGATGTGAGCAAAATGTCAAGAAGATGCCTGCCATAGCTGGTAATCAAGATGACCAATTACAACATTCACACCTGCCTCAAGGAGACAAGAGTTTTTTCTCCCACCCTGGACATCCTTCCCCAGATATATAAACCTCACTTTTCTAGTTTCCAACAGACCTCACAACCTCTGAGGATGGCTGCCATAGATGTGGGCAAAACCTCAGGAAAAATGCTTCTGGAACATGGCCTGACTGCTTGGAAAACTCACAGCAACCCAATACAGTGTAGACTCATATAATGCACTTTCAACTGCATTGAACTATATTAAATGGGTCTACACTGACCATGTAATGCAGTGTAGATCCAGCCTCATAGGCCCAGGAGCACAAGAATGCATCTTTATAATATTTAACTAAAATAATACCAAAAGAGATCTGTTCTCTGCTGCTTGGAATGCTATTCCAGCAACACAGAAAACACAGCTATTGCTTCCCTCTTCCCTTACCTTTAACAGGAAGGTTTTGGGTTTGGGGCCTCTCTTCTTCGGACCATAGAGTTCCATTTCTCTTTCCCTAAAGGAGGTTCAAAAACATACAACCCATGTTAAATAACAAGGGGGTCTGGGTTCAGCATTGCTCCAAAAAAAAAGACTAAGCTAGGGCTGTAAGTTAAAGCAAGGGAGGTGCTCCCACTCCTACCAATCAGAGTACCTTTCCTCAAAAGCCGCCAGCAAGCGAGCATCTAGGATGTTTTCTTCTGGCTCCCAAGTGCTGTATCTAGCAAAGGAAGGCAAGGCCAAAAGCACACGAATCAGAAGAGGGGCTTTTAAAAAAAATCCCCCCCCCCTCTGTTTTTCCAAAAGCGCAATCGACTGCACTCCCCTCCCAATGGCATGCCAAGCGGATCCAACCCCTTGTCGGTATTTCGATTGCACTGACAGATTGACTTACTTCTGAGACCAGCCTTTCCATTTCACCAGATATTCCATCCGGCCCTGCAGATGTCGAAAACAGGAGTCAAACGAGCACACATTTCAGGGGGGAAAGGGGGGCGGGGGCGAGGGAAACGACCCAAAGGAACGAGGCCAAACAACTCTTTCCCTGCTGGCGAACGGCTCCCCAGAAACCAAACTTCCACCCAAAAGCAGGCGTCAAAATAGAGGGAGATCATAATCTGCATACACTCGAGCGGCCAGCAACACGCCACAAATATGCAGGGCGCAAAAAAATATAGAGAGAAAAGCAAAGAAAAACCCATCCAGGAAAAAAGGGGGCGTGCTGCAAAAGGCGACCAAATCTGCATGCATGCAATGCGCGGAGCGAAAACATCCCTGCAGCTCGGGAGGTGCATGCATTGCAAGGCGAGGCTCGCGACGGTGGCAGCAGCAGCAGCAGCGCTGCAGAAAAAGGGGGAGCGGCGGCCAGGGGAGGGGAGGCAGGGCTGCTGCTGCTGCTGCTGTGGCTGCAGAAAGGAAGGAGCCAAGCAAGCAAAAAAGGAGAGGGCGAGAGGGAGAGGCAAAGACAAGCTCGCCTGCTTGCCTGCCAGGCTGCGGCCTGCTTTGCAAAGCGCACAAAGCCCCGGCTGCAAGAGGGGGGGGGGTCGCGAGGCGAAAGCACCTACTTTGCGGATGCGCCTCTTGAGCAAGGCCTCGGCCGCGAAGACCCGCTCGCCCACGGCGGAGAGCTCCATGTTTACTCGGCCGCGGGCAGCAGGGAAGCAACGGCGGCGGCGGAGGCTTCGGCGGCAGGAGCCAGCCCAGCCCAGACCATAATACTCCGCTCGCTGACGTCAGCCCGCGGCTCGCCTGCCTCCGCACTTGTTGCTGCCCGAGCGAGCGAGCGAACGAGAGAGAGAGCCTTGCCTGGCTCCAGAGCAGAGAGAGAGAGAGAGGGAGAGAGAGGAAGGCCCACGCCGCGCTCGCCTTTGCTGCCGCCTCCCCCTCTCCTGGCTGCCGGCGCTGGGCCTGGCCCTTCCCCAGCCCCGCCACCAGCAGCACGGCTCCCCCGCCTCCCTGCGACGTGATCCGCGTGTCAATCACGGAGGGGGCGGGGCCGAAGGAGACAGAGGCAGGAGGGGGCGGGGAGGAGGGCTCCCGAGGAGGGGGAGGGGGAAAGGAAGGGGCTGACTGGCCCTGGAGACAGGGAGGGAGGGAGGGAGGGACGGGGCCGAGCTGGGAAGCCCTCCCCTCTCCCCTTCCCCCTTCCCTCCCCTCCCATTCTCGCTTCCTTTCTTCCCTTCCTCTCTTCTCCCCCTCCCCCTTCTCTTCCTCCTCCTCTTCTTCTCTCCCCTCCCCTCCCTTCTTCCTCCTCCCCCTCTCCTTCCTTCTCCCCTCTTCCTCTTCTCCTCCTTCCCCTCTCTTCCTTCCCCCCTTCCTTTCCCCTCCTTTCTCTTCCTCCTTCCCCCCTCCTTATTTCTCCCCGCCTTCCTCCCTCCTCCTTCCCCCTTTCCTTCTTTCCCTACTCTTCCTTCCCCCCTCCTTCCTCTTCCTCCTCTTCCTCCCCTGCTCTTCCTCCTCCTCCCTCTCTCCTTCCTCCTCCAGGCTCCCCTCTTCTCCCCCCCCCGTTCTCCAACCCCCCTCCGCCCCCGTCCCCACAAATCGATGGCGTTTGTAGAACCAGAGGTGGCTTTCTTTATTATTCTTTTTTTCCCCGCTTGTTTGTTTAATCGACTCCCTCGCTTCCGCAAAATAAACAACCCTTTCCCCTCCTCCTCCTCCCCCGCCTCGGTTTGCATAGAAATTCCCTTCTGGTGGGTTTTGGGGAGGGATAGGGGTGGGGGCAATAAAGGATTTGGTGAGAAGGGAGATGAATGGGGTGAGGCGGGTTTTATTGGGGGTGCCGGAAGGAAGCCTGCCTGGCCTCATGGATCGTGGGCCGCTTTGGGGGGCGAGCTAGCCCTTCGGGAGGAGAAGAAGCCACCCAGAGGCTCTTCCCCAGAAGTATCGCTGCCCCTCCTCCTTCCAAACCTCTCCCCCCTCCCCAAACACACATACCCTCGGAAACGTATTTTAATATCGGCGAGGGGCGGGGCCGGCAAGGGGGGTTGACCCACCATCGCCTCACGCAGCCGATCCAGGAGGCTAAAAGACCCCCGCGAGGGTCCTGCTCCGCGGGACCCAAGGCTCCTCGCGCGAGTCTTCTCCTCCCTCCTCAAACCCACACCAAAAAGACGCCAAGTTGCTAGACTTGGAGTTCCTGCCGGGCAACGTCGCCCTCCGCCCGGGCCCCTGCGTGGGAAGGGTCACGCGCGCCCACCCGCCCTTCGGTTTCATGCCCACCAACTGGGCTCTGTCTACACGAACCATTTCATGAAGTTCGAAGCTAGCGTCTGCGGCGGACAAACGACTGTTCAAACTGCATGATAGGCTCAGTGTAGAACCATTTAATGCAACTCAATGCAGTTCGAACTGCAATACAGAGTCAATGTAGAGCCATATAATGCAACTCCGTGCAGTTCACACTGCATTATAGGCTCAGTGTACACCCATGTAATGCAACTCAATGGAGTTCTCACTGCATTATAGACTCAGTGTAGAATCATATAATGCAACTCAGTGCATGATAGGGCCAATGTAGACCCTATCAGTGCAGTTCAAATTCCATTATAGAGTCTTCTTTAAACAAAACCCATTTATATAGTCAGTGTAGAACCACGTAATGCAACTCAATGCAGTTCAAACTGCTTTATATAGTCAGTGTAGAACCATACAATGCAGCTCCATGCAGTTTAAACTCTGTGGTTTATGTAACCACCGTCCAGGCCTGGTTCCACGATTTCCTCGGCACAGGGAAATCACTTTCTTCAATACCGGTTGGAAACTGCATTAAATGGTCAGTGTAGATGGGGTCTGCGTGAACTTTGACTTCTGATTTTTTTTTTCTTGAGGAAAAGGGGAAGAAAGGCAGGCGGCGCGAGAGACCAGGGAAGAGGGCAGAGGAGGTTGAGACATGGGGGGGGGGAGGGGGGCGTGTAAAGCAGAAACTGTGGATTTGGGATAAAGGGTAATTCGACTAGGACTGCCTCTATACTGCCATATACCGCCGTTCAAACTGCGGTCTATGGTCCAGCCTTGGAAGGCGCGGGAGATGCTCCCAAAAGAGAACTTTCACTTTCTCTGCCGGGCTCCTGGGTGCATCTAGATTGTAGACTGAATGCAGTTTGACACTGGAACTGCCAGGACTCAGGGCTATGGAGTCCTGGGAGCTGCTGTTTTCCAAAGATCCAGTGAGTGCTGCTGCAACTCTCAGGATCCCATAGCGGTGGGTCAGAGCACTTCAGGTGGTGTCAGACCGCATTCAAGGACTAGTAAGTCTACTGACATAACGGCAAGGCGCTATTTCTGCCAGTATGGAATATCAAGCAGGGCTGCATCTACACTATAGAATAAATGCGGTTTGACACGTGAACTGCTATGGCTCAACCTTGGGGACCAAAAACTACAAACCTTGTCAAACTGTCACAATCCCATGGCTGTTACAGTGGTGTCAAACTGCATTCATTCTACAGTGTAGACCAAGCATGGGCAAACTTCGGTCCTCCAAGTGTTTTGGACTTCAACTCCCACAATTCCTAACAGCCGGTAGGAATTATGGGAGTTGGAGTCCAAAACACCTGGAGGGCCGAAGTTTGCCCATGTGTAGATGCATCTCTAGACTCACCAAAAGGAGGACATCTTATCGAGCTAGACTGCCTTTATCTGGAGGAGATAGCTCGCTTTCACACCGTTTTCTCCTGTTCCTCGCGTTTTAGGAACCAGATCAAATGACTCCGATATATAGTTCAAAGGAAGGCAATGGGTCTTCCTTGGACAAGAAAACTTCATGACAAGAAAACGTCTGTGTCCTCCTTGGACAAGAAAACTTCATACATTCATGGGGTCGACTGGATAGGCGACTTTGGCTACACATGACTAGAGATCTCGGTTCAAATCTCCGTTTGGCCATGGAAACATATTGGATGATCTTGGGCAAATTTCAGCCCCAGAAAACCCCATGATAAGCCTAAAACGAGTCGAAGGCAGACAACAACAAACAGGGAGTCCTGCATCCTTGGGAGGAAACTTCGTGTGCAAATCTTTCACAGCTGGGTGTACGTTGTCATCTACTGGCGCTTGAGCTGTCTTGTATGTTCAGCGTGGACCCACAGAATGCAATTCAAGCCCCCTTCTTGGACAGTGTAGATCCAGCCCCAGCCTTTCCTCCCTTTGCGAGGAGCCAGCCCTGGGCTAGGAAGTCTTTCTTCGCAGCCACAAAGCGCCGTGCCAGCGATACAGCTGGTTCTGCTTAAATTTAAATACTTTCCAACAGTTTGGGGAGTGAAAAGAAAGCCGACCTCAAGAGCCGGGAAGAGGAGGCTCTGGTTTCCTCGCCCCAAGAACCTCTGGCTTCGCAAGCGCCCCCAGACCAAGGAAAAGAGGGGGAGAAAGAGAAGGAAGAGGCAGGCGAGCCACGAAGGTCCCCGAGGTCTGTCGCCCAAGCCACACAGCCTGGTTGGGCGGGGATTCCCTTCGGGGATACCCTCGCCCCAGGCTCATCCAGCAACATCTCCCTAGCCCCTCCCACAGGGATGGTAAAACATCTAAACATCCGGGAGTCCCCTGGGCAACATCCTTGCAGACGGCCAATTCTCTCACACCAGAAGCGACTTGCAGTTTCTCAAGTCGCTCCTGACAGGGAAAAAAGATCCCTCCCCAGCCCGATTTGAATCACGAATGACCCTTAAAGAGCCCCGTTATTTGCTCTCGGGTAACGTTTCTCTGTATTTCATCCTTCGGTGAGTCTATGGTCTCTTTACTCCTATGTTGGCTTTTCGACGCTTGGGAAGGACGCAGAGGTTCAGCAAAGGGGGGGGGGATATACCTCCCCCCGCCTTCCTCCTCCAGTCCTATAGAATCTCCTTTTGGGAAGGGAAGCTCCCTCTTCTTCTCTCTTCCATTCATATTCCGTTCCTGACAGGAAGCAGGGTAATTCAGAAACAGGGTGCATCTACACAGCAGAATGGATGTCCTTTGACACCATTTTCACTGCCAGGGCTCAAGGTTACGGAATCCTGGGAGTTGTAGTTTTGGCACTCATCGGTAGAGGCTACAGAATGGATGCGGTTTGGCACCACTGCCACGGTTCAATGCAAGGAAATCCCGGGAGTTGTAGTCTTCCAAGGTCTTTAGCGTTCTCTGCCAAGGAGCGCTGGGGCCCGCTCAAACTACAGCTCCCAGGATTCCGTAACATTGAGCCCTGGCTGTTGAAACGGTGTCAAAGGACACCCATTATTCAGTGTAGATGCACCCCTAACCCCTAGCCGAGTTAGTCTGGGTTGATCAGTATGCAAAGGCGGAGAGAAAGCTTCTGCAGACTTCAGCCTACTTCCTCGGACGTATCTGGTAACGCTTACACTCCCGTCAACTTCTCTCTCTCATCAGTTTCTACAAGATTGCTTTGCATACGAAGGAAGGAGGTTTCTGTGTTTTCTGCAGGGGGCTTGAGGGCAAGAAAAACCCAAGAGAGAATGCCAAGGAGGATTGAAGTGATGACTACAGGCGGTATTTCGTTAATACTAGGCGGGAGGAGAGAGTCGTTTTGCCAAATGATACCTAAGGCTTCCAAGGGATCCAAACATCTCTCTCCAAGATCCTCAATTTCGACTCTACAGACTCAGCAAAGAGATCATTTTCAGTATGGAGAGTGCAATGAAGCAACTCGGGAGCCATAAACGATTGGACCCCACTCTCCCAGCTCTATGCTAATAGGAGAAGGTAAGCATTTCACTGGATTTCGGACAGACGTTGTCTATTTTATTTCTATTTTCTATTTTCAGTGGGCTGACCTGCAGGATTGGTGGTCCCTTAAGGCAGTCCCCTTGGTCTCTCCTTGCTCCCGAGAAGAACGAATGCGGGTTGACATCACTTCAGCTGCCATAGCTCACGTCCCTTCAACACTCCCATATAATCCAAATTATCAAATCATATCATCCACGTTATTTGATTTGGATTATCTG